ATTGAAATTTTCGTCGTTTCATTTATTTATTGAAATTAATTGAAATCGATACGATAGTGATTAGTCTTCGGTACCTATTTAGTATATTCTATTGTAAAGTATTAATTTTAATTAATAATTATCGTAAATTTTACTATATCACCATGCTGTAGATTTACATATGTTTGGATTTAATTTAAATATCATGAACATAGAACAGAGGTGGAAACGTACGTTTTTATTATAATTTGTAATTTTTATTATATTTATATTTTTCAGTGATCTCATAAAATAGTTACTTTGAAACAGAACTAACGATGAGCTTTAATTTACATGTTTCTACGAGCTGCGAAAAAGGTATAGCGGTACATCAATTTTTATAATTATATTTAATTTGTCTAACATGTATAACATTACATTTCGTTGCCATTTATAATTTCTCACGCATCCATACGCGATGTTTTACGTTGTACTCGATAGTTGGAACAACGTACATTCGTAGAAATTATTTTGACCTCGGGTGTTTTCGGCAAGTCTCGTGTCCCCTCACCGAGAATTCCCGAATCGTGCAAATCAGACACTGCGAGACGTACGCAGAAGTTTGTAAATGGCGGACGTCCGTGGTTCAAGGTGCATTGTTCGTCCTGTTAACTTGCGATCTCGGTCACGTAATATTCCTCGCAACAGCGGGATCTCTTATTCCGAAAAGTACGATCAACTTACTAAACCATTTAATCAGTGTCTCTGTGACAATTTCTCGTATATGAACATTTAACAGATCTTGGACTAATTTTCTTCCATATGCCTTCCCGAATCCACGAATCCCGCGGAACGTATTCTCCCACAATAAATATCATACATACGTATCAGATTCTTAATTTCTCATTTAGATAACACCAAATACCGACTACTCGTAATTGTAACGTCAGATAAAGTAACACGCGAGGAAATGGCAACGCAAGGTACGTTCGCTTTCGGTATCCTAGAATAATAGTTAGGAAGCCAGGGCGTGTATCGACGTTCCATTTGCGAGGCGTGTGATCGATCTCTCGTGTCGTGAGAAATTCAAGAGCAGACTGGTAAGGCGACAGACAGACACATCGTTCCGTTAAAGAGATCATCTTACTCGACAGTTTCTCGAGCTCTGGTCGTCTCGTTCGATATTTCTCGCTCGCATTGTTGCCCCGAAGCAAACAAAATGACGGGGGGGAAAAGGTTCGGTTTGCGAGTATGCGAACGTGATAAAAGACACGTAGCGTCTAGCGAAGAATGTATTGGCAGATTCATGCGAAATCATTTAGCCTAGCGCCATTAATGGCAGCCATTGTATATCGTGCGCCCTTCAGGGTTGCCATTCCGCCCGTTTCCTCGTAAGCAGTGCGATTCTAATTAATAAAGGTATGCTCTCTAATAAGAGCAGTCCTGTTCCCGTCGCACGTCTTGCCGAATTGTCGCCGAGCGTTCCGAGGATAATCCAGAGTAACCGAAACACGACATTTTCTACTGTGATACGTAGGGAAAGAACAGTTACGTGATTCTCATGATACAGTTATACCAATGTGTATTATTCACGTTCGGAAGATATCAAGCGAGACATTATGCCGAACGATCGTGGCCCGAGAGAGACGAACGGTGGTTGTTCGGAGCGTCCAGAGACAAGATTTCGATGTGAACGAGAGATGTCAAGGAGTCGTGTCTCGTGATATCGGAATAGTAAATGCGAACTATCGCACGGAGACAGCCGTAGACCAGTTCCGTGCGAAAGGATGCTGTTATTCTTTAGTTTGAGATTTCAACGGTCATCGAAAGTGTCGCCCTTCGAGCGAGTATCTCGTTCGGACAACTGTCAAGGCTGGCACAGGTACAAACTGTCGAAAAAATTCCTCATAGGATTTCCCGTCTCCGTGTGACACGTCTCTTTGTGGGTGTATCGTTAGGGAGTGACGTTCTCTGCCCGGCAAGTAAACTCTCTCGCGAAACCGAGCGAACGTATTCCGTTGCTCGAGCGTTCCGTCGTTAAGGGTCCATTTCTCGCAATGCGGAATTATAGAGCGCGCTGCAAAACTCGGAGCAAAAAGGAAGTGTCAGTTCTAACGTAACTGCGACATTGTGCGAGAATCCGGAGAGACAGAGAGAGATAGGCGAAGCGCGCGCGCGCTCGCGACAGAGAGACGGAAAGAGAGCAACAAAGAGAGAGAGAGAGAGAGAGAGAGACTTATTCCGCCTCTCTGCGTGCACGTAGGCATGCATTAATACCGTTCGGGATATCTCATAGACTTTCGTCGGGCTGTTGTGTTGCTGCTGTTACTATTGTTGCTGGCGTTGCTGCTACTCCCATCGCTGGCCCTGGGGACGCAGGATCGTGCGTGGACCGAAAGATCAATGCGAACGACGATTATCAGCAGTGTAATGTTTTATCAGGTGGCGACCTGTCGTGAGCGAACAATCTATTCTCTGGTAAGGAATGGAAGATTACACGGTCAGTTACGTTCGTTTTAAACAATATATTGTTCCCATAGGCGGGTAGCCGTCTCGCGGACGGCAGTTACGCGCTTCCGAATTTCGCTATCGTCGAGCGTACAATCATCGAGTTCGTCGCGTTACAGCGACGCGTGTACTTAGAAATGAATCCTGGAGTGACGTATAGCTAATGCGTCGAATCGATCACTGCGTTGCGGACAGTGGTTCTTTTACCGTGGGCAGACAATTAAATCTAATTAAAACGCACCGTGGCCACGTTCGATCCTCGGTACTCCGTCGCAGATATTTTCTCCGACCTTGCTTTTTCGGTTTCTAGACGAATAGTTGCTTTCGACGCGGACACGAGCGAACGCTCGCACCGAGATTCGAGAGCATATATTTCTGCGACATTTCGGTGCACGAGCGATAAAAGTCGATCTCGCGGTTAAAGGGCTCGATGGTTTCTCCGATGGTCGACGCGTAGCCCGTCGTCGCGAAGCGGAGTATCGACGACGAGCTAGGAGCCCGCGACGAATGGAAACGTAGGGACAGTGAAACGAATAGTGCGGGAGAGAAGAACTCGGTGGTTCGCGACGGACGACGCGGTTCCATTGCCCGTACGTTGCAACATTCGACGGTTTTTCGATGCACGCAGTGCGTGACGTGTGCCATGCTCCACTCGACACTGTTGCACACGGCGTATTTACATTTCAAATTAGTCGCTCCGCTGGTTATTATTAAATAACGATAAATCGTCATCCCGATGGTAGCGATCGAATGCTCGTAACACTTTGTTCCGTGTACAGTCGCTTAATGCGCAGTTGGTCGTTCGAGTAATGCATGTCAAGTTCGACGGATTTAATTGCTAGTAGTTCGCTAGTCGATTTTACGGCTAGCTCCGTAAAGCAGCCTCATCGTTGCCTTTAAATACCATCGAACCATGTTACCGACCCGATTCTTCGGAGTCCGAACAGAAATTTCCGCGATCTTCCGAACGGCCATTTTCTTTAATACGATCTCACCGGATGTCGTTTCGAGTTGCCGATATTAATTGAACGCGCGACAAATTCAAGGTGGACGATCGGTGTGCCCGCGCATGCCGACCGGGCCGACCTGCTAACGTTTCTCCAACCGTCGGGACGTACGCGAGCTCGAAAATGCTCGCGTTCGAATCGCCCAGACGGAGAGTATCTCATCCTGCGGCATTGCATAGAATCGAGAAGACGCCATCTTTACTACCGAACCGCTATCTACCGATGATTTGGATTCTCCTCGACGGTACCGCCATCTACTTCCTCTCAGCCAGGATCGCGTAAGAGACGCGTGCTGAGAGCCGAGTAAAACGTGACCAAAGAGGTTTCTTCCGAGGATGTTCCTCTCGCCTGTCCCGCCGATTTTGCCACGAGCGGCACGTCCACAGGCCGATGAATTATGTACGTGAAGCCTGGTGCGCGCCAAGGGTCGAGATAATTGGAAATCGCGAGGCACGGTAAAAAGAAAAAAAAAAGTGGTCGCAGCCGTCCAGCGTGAATTACCTGACCGTACACACTCGGTTGCCGATCGAACGTACGTTGGATGCTCGAGTGAAGGTTTCGAAGGTATTTATCCCCGGCTGTATTCTCGTCCGTGGTTCCTCGTGTTCCTTTCCTCGTTTCGAGAGCGAACGATGATAACGATAACGCCTTTGTTACACCATCACGACGGGACACGTTAATAATATACGCGATGGTAGAGGTGCAAGTTGGGCAAGGTCCAGTTCTTGCCTCTATCACGCTTAACCTTAAAGTATACGCGTCTCAAGAGCACGGATAACCGGCCGTGTGTAAGAGCACGCTGTAAAAGTGGATGGAAGTGCGGATGAACGCACGGCACGAGTGAAAGTATGTGCGTAGAGGCAGTCGAGGAAATTCTCATGGAGACGCGCGTGTACGCACGCATGGGATCGTACTTAGAGCAAACGTGAAACTCCGTTCGGATCGGACGAACATGAGAGACCAGTAACGAGAAAAAAACATAGATAACGACTAGAGGCTAGTATTCGACTGGCTCGCAGGGTGGGAAACTTGAGAAACTTTTCGAACGAGGAATTAATGAAAACCATTTCGAAATGCGTTTTCGTTGATACCCGACGTTCGTTACCTGAACGATCAGCTGTATAACCACACGGTAATCCATGCTGGATCATTTATCCGCGTTGACATTTTCGTTAAATTCCAAATTGCTTCTCTTATCAACGTCGCTTTCGATTCGACAGTGAAAGAAAAATTTGTCGAACGACAGGTGATCGAGACGGAAAATAAATCGACCGAAACGGAGCGGGAATCGATAGAGAAATAAGACTATCGAGTTCGGAGGAACGGAGTATTACACGTGACGTACATAAAATGTACAACGACGAAGATATAAAAACTTAGCTTTCCTTAGGCTAAATATAAGCGGACGGTGAGCATTATTTTAAACTTGGTTTTTCTGCTCGAGGCGAAGGCGATGTATGAATACAGGTTTGCCCCGAGTGTATACAAGAGGGCAGGTCAAAAGCGGCTCGACATCTGCCGACAAGGGTTAGTCCGTCTTCATCTATGGATTCGGATGCGATTGCGTCTCGAAGGGGGAAAGTGTGTTCGTCGAGAGAGCTGTTGCTTCCCTTTTCTCCCGTGCCTCTGGAAAACATGATCGCGCACAGGTGTTGTTGTTGCAAAGTGGTGAAGAGGAAGCGAATAGTGCGTCGTGGAAAATGAGTTTGCCGTGTCGAATCGTGCGTTGCGGGAACACGTTACACGCGGTGCCTCGTGTTGTCACGGTGTGCCGTTCGATCGTGTGACGATGCTGGATGCCGAGAGTGCAGTGAAGACGAAGTGAACACGTGAAACAGTTTTATTCTGTATCGTGGCGCGTGCACGTCTGCCGAACTGCACGATGTACGAGAATAAAGCAATGCGAACGAATCGGCATACTCCTTTCTTTCATACACGCACGTCGGATATATAACTCTCGTGGCGTTTCATTGTATTCCTGTTATTGATTGCGAGAGAGGAAACACGTGGGCTATGAACGGGTTAATACGGAAAACAGTCTATAAATACCGCCGGACAAAGTTTAACCTATTAACGGGGGTGACTTCCATTGTGATCTAATCAGTGCCGTGTCAAACATTGTTTGAATCCGTTAACGGTTCATGCCTCGTTCCGAATTGTTCTCGACTGCACAAGCCCAATGCCGTTTTCCCACGGCTTTGCTTCGATGCGATCACCCGAATTCCAAAGGGAAACGTTTTCTCGCGAATTCCGCTTCCGGGGAATTGTGCTGATTTTTTACGTCTGGAACCTCTGTTTGTCCCATCGGTACAGTATATTTTTTTACAAGGATTATATCGTCGGATGAATCGTTTCTTTTTTTTGGAGTAATACCGTTACTCTTTTTAATTCGATTTTTAAAAGGTTCGATAAATACGGTTGTGAACTATGAACGCCGTCACTGTGAATATTGTGTGATAATTAAATTCGAAATTCTTTGAGGAAGTACAGTGGGGTATAATCTACGAATTGTGCTGTTTTTGAATAATACTGACGAATGTTTAAAATTGCGAATAATCGAATAAAGCAAGAACTGCGAATAATCTAGAATCCAAAAGAATCGTTTCTTTTTTTTATAATAAACGTCGACCTTGGTTTCGAGCTCACCTTCGTTTATCACCCGGCCCAAAATATTGATCTCGTTGCCTTTATAATTTAATTTATATTTCACGAAATATAGAATATTCCAGAGTTATTAAATTGAAGAAAATGTAACGTATACTCCGTTACGTGTTTCCCAACCATTCTCCACGACTCTCTCCCCGTTTTTGAGCTCAACGGTTTACGAATCGAATGATAAGACTCGCTATCGTCAAGATACTTTGTTAATGAAAGATAAGCTTCCCGAACAATTTTTACGGATCGAAGGAAGCTATCGGAATGGCGTAACAATATTATTATTCGAGTGACCCGACGAATTTGGTCGGGACTTAAAATTCGTTTCTTTCCCCGTTGCTTCTTACCGTCCGCCATATTGTTTGAAATCGGAATCAGTGTATGTTTACGAGCGTCGATTAATTGAGCGATCTCGGGAAATGTTTAATATTCAAATGCCCGAGGCGAGCAGGCGAATGTGTTTAATTAAAGATCGAAAGCAATCGGAGTAATGACGAGAAACAGAGGTATAAATATTTTCTTCTCCCGACACAGGTGAACGATATACAGAAAACAAGATGGACGAGTACGACAAGAAGTTCGCCGAGATGCAAAAATATATTCCGTTTTTGGAAGCGATGATAGAGAGGTTGCAAAACGTGAAGGACAAGTCGCGGGAGGTTCAGCTGCAGAAAATGCAAAGCCTTCACGGGATTTTGTCGAACAGCAAGAGAAAGTACGTTTCGCGGATAATCACTGGACACAGTCGAGTATACAACAACGTTACACGTTTCCTTGCCATTTTCCTGTCGACACCGGTCGCTGGCAGATACTTTTCACCAGGGCTTGAAATCATTCCCAAAACTCATTGTTTTTCACGCTATTTCACTCGTTGTCTTGAAAGCTCACAGTTCCTGGAACTGATATCCTGTAGACCGATACAGGGATGTTAACTGGAACTCACGTGACCATGAAATTTAGGTTCTTTCAAGCCCTGTTCCTTGCACGTTAATAAAGCCACGTGTAACGATTACAATTTCAATTGAAACGCGTCGTTTGGCTTGTTCTCTTATCTTTCACTAAAATTTGCATTTTAACAAATTCTCTGTAATACGAGGAACAACTAATGATGATGTCTTCCCAATGAAATAGACTGAAGATCGAGACGCTGCAGCGATGCGAAGACGTTCTACAGAAGTTACACAACAAAGTAGAGAAGGTAACTATACGACACGAACCTGTCCCGCACTGCTGAACAAGGTGCACTGAATCTTTCGGCTGAAATTTATCGAGATTCGAGGACATCGTCGAGCAGTTTCAACTGTGGGATTTAGTTTGAAAAATCGCTCGTGGTCCAATAAAGTCGAGCAACGACGAGCGTGTATCAGTAATCATCGATAATGATTAATAACGGTATTCGAGGAAATTGCTACTACTTCGAGCTTTAAACCGACGAGTATACTCGTGAAACACACAGTTGACTGGTTAATCTAATGAGACGGTTGTCCATTGCGCGAAGTTCAGTGAACCTGTTGGCAGTGTGTGCGATTTACCTGGCAATGTTTCGCCTCACGCTGTATTTGCGTTTCATTTATATTGTATCCGCCGATGAAAGATATAAACGAGGATCCTTGGGCATTCATTTATATTAGTCGGACGATTGTGTTCGACCCGCGTCATGCAATTTCCGTTTCTAACGTCGAACCGACGAACACGGTGTTCACTTGGTATTTTTGGCGCAGCAAAAGGGGATGACAATTCAGACGATGCCACGTTAGAACAGCTCTTTTATATCGTTTCACGACACGCAGATTGTTTCGACACGTGCTTGATAGAGCAGTTGCGATAGCTGCACCTGTACTTACATAGAACTTTTTCCACCTCGGTGTACACTGTATTCGCATCTTTTTTCTTTATGCATAATGCCCACTGTATTTTTGTGACTGCACTTGGAACGACTCTGTTGTAACATACTTCCGAAAACGATACGTATCTACACTAAAACTACTCGAACGACACCGATCAAAGTCCGTGCGGTGTTCCACGGATGTACAGCACATCAAGGCACAACGAGATTAGTGAATGCTTCTAGATGAGTAGATCGAAAGAAATTCTCCTCTCCGATTTGGTTTCGTTTGTTTCTTTCCACTTCATTTTTTCAACGATCGTAGTTGCTTCACAATCCTCCTTAGACTCCGTTCTTTATATTTTTGGTTGTTTACAGGCTTTGTAGTGCATGTATGGTTTTTTTATTTTAATCATTCTAATCTGACACGAGTTTCAGGGAAATACTCCTGGATTGCATTTTCCGAACAAGAAGAATGCCGGCGGCTCTGCGCATACCTCGACGTAAGTATCATCGGCGACTCTATCGTATTCGTGCGTATCGTACTTGAACCGTCTAACGCGCGAGACAGCTCCGAAAGTAACGTAGAGCGATGAATTTCCCAGTAATCGGTGTCAACGGGAAAAGAAAGTAAAGCATTGCTCGGGAATCGCCGATATCACGAGCAACGGCGTTCAGGTGATCCTGTAAAATTGGGTTCAATGGTTTTCAGCGGAGGGGAGGCTTCAAGCGGCGAACAAAACAAAATGATGAACGACAGGTCCCAGTCGCACAGGGATGCGATGGAGGAGCAAGAAGTCCACGAGACGCCTGCCAGCCCGAGTCCTCCCGTCAGTCCCGACTCCGGCTCTCAAGTTGCGCCGATAATAATCCCCACTGAGCGGAGCGTGGACTTCATCGACGATAGCAAACCCGCGAG